AGAATCAAGTGAATAAATAATCTGGTGATCATAATAAAATCAGGGACATAGAGAGGGAATGAACTGACTATTCTTGGGGGGGAAAGGGGTGTGGGAGATGCGGAAAGAGACTGGACAAAAATCGTGCACCTATGTATGAGGACAGTGGGTGGGGAGTGAGGGCGGAGGGTAGGGCAGAAACTGGGAAGAGGGGAGTTATGGGGGGGGGGGGGAAAGAGGAACGAATGTAATAATCTGAACAATAAAGATTTAATTAAAAAAAAATAACAGGGAAGCACGGCCGGTGTGGCTCAGTGGTTGAGCATCAACCTATGAACCAGGAGGTTACAGTTCGATTGCCGGTCAGGGCACATGCCCAGGTTGTGGGCTCGATCCCCAGTGTGGGGCATGCAGGAGGTAGCCGATCAATGATTCTCTCTCATCGTTGATGTTTCTATCTCTCTCTCCCTCTCCCTTCCTCTCTGAAATCAATAAAAATATTTTTTTAAAAAAATAACAGAGAAATGATAACAGCCCCAAAGTTTTCCGTAGATAACTAACCAACAATTTAAATGTGGGGAAGATGCTAGCTCTTTGCCTCTTTCCCACATCCTATGCTTACACCACAGCAAGTTGAAATATTTCTTTTAAAAATAATTTCCTCCTCAAGGAGCCCTAGTACCAGGTTGCTAAGATAGATATCAGAGCAACAGCACGGCCAGGAGAGAAGAACCTACTCCAATCTCTCAATCCATCAGCCCACAGGGACGGTAGACAAGGCCATCCATGGGGCTAAACTCTAAGCAAAAGGGGTGGGAGAGTGGGAAAGCAGAAGGAAAGAATGAGAGGGAAGGAAAGAGACGATGCGTTAAGAAAAGAATACCAATGACTGGCTATGGCGAGCGTTGCTAGTAATTAATTCATGGCCTCTTAACCTGTTTATGCCCAAGTTCATCAGGCTTGTTTATTCTAATTAGTAGTTATAATCTGGCCATATACTGGTGTGTGGGAGCTCTTAGTGAGGGCAGGGTCCACTTCAGGGTCTATTGATTCCTATCTAGTCCCTGGCCTTGGCCATCCTTTGAGCCAACAGTCGTGGCGTGGACATTACCTATGATCAAGAAGGCCACCCACCTATACATGCTGAAGACCGTGTTGCCGTTGTGCATGAGGTACACATACACTTCCTCAACGTCTTCGTGCTTCATCATGCTGAAGGTGAAGAAATACACACCTGAAAAAGACGGGTGTTAAATCACAATTGTGTTAATGTATGGTACATGGATGACCACGAGACAGCAGGGAGATATGCCCCATGACTTCCCACTTCTTTTGTGGATAGTCTATGTGGTCGGTAGGTTCCTCTGGGCCCTTATTTGCATGTGGGCTTCTTTATCTGCTCTCACCTGCAAACTGCTTTAATTTTTTTTTTCAGACTTTCCCAATGTGTACAGTGTGTGTTCAAGGAAAGAGTCAAACTTATTTTGGCTGTATGTCACTGCCTCCTCTTACCCCTGACCAAGTGCTTAAGGCAAAGTTACAGAGTACAGAGCACAAAGTTTCCAGGTACAGGTTAACCATCTTCGACACCCCGCCCCCAGGACTCACATGGCCAAGGCACAGAGCCCTGAACAATAGACATGTGGCCCCCGTGGCCCAGGAAAATAAACGCGTGTAATAAACAGCACAGCAGATGAGCACACTCGCCACAGATTTAGCCACAGATAAGAAATACTGTAACACAGATCAATGTGGATTAGCCCTAAAGAAACAGTCCCAACAATTTCTCACAATAGACGTTGTAAGTAGGTGAAATTATGCACAATAAGCAGAAAGATGCAACGTGGACTCAGCAGCATAACTGCGCTCCTATCAATATGTATCCTCATCTGGAAAAGGCAAACATATTTTAAAAGATACGAATGTCTTTGTAAGATTTCAGGGCTCCTCATCGAACGCACCTTAATTTAACCTGATAGATCCGAAATGCCAGTGTAGACACACAGTACCTTTACTGGGCGATTAAGGAGAATCCAATCATAGGGAGAGGGGAGAAAAGGAAAATCTCAACCCCAAAGAGCCCTAGGTTTGAGAGTACATTCTGGAAAGATGACTGAAGGTCAAGCACCGGGCTCTCTGATGTCCAGGTTACATTTTTAAACTCATGGCCGCATGTTAGCTTATTCGAACTGCTGTGATAAAATACCACAGACTGAGTAGCTTATAAACCATAGGCATTATTTCCCGTAGTCCCAGAGGTCGGAAGTCTGCAACCATAGTGCCCGCCTGGTCAGATGAGAGCCCTCTTCCAAGTCGTGGACTTCTGCTTGTATCGTCTTTCGGCAGAGGGGCCTCTTTCAGGAAGGCACTAATCCCGTTCACGAGGGCTCCACCCTCAGGATCTAATCACACCCCAAAGGCCCTATCTCCGGAAGTGATCCCTTTGGGCATGGGATGTTCAATGGAGGGACTTTGAAGGGATATTGTATTCAGCCCACAGCAGGCTCTGGAAGAGAAAGCCCCAGAGACATCTAAACCCTGCATCGTTTTTGGCTCTTTTCCAAAGGTGCAATCAAGTAAGCTGGAAGCTGGAAGGGTACATGCTGGTGCACCTGCTTCTGAGTCAAGTGGAACCAAATAAAGACGTCTGATTATGCTTCGCTTAGTGCAGGCTCGCATAGTCAAGGCGCTGGGATGAAAGGAAGTAGCATACTCATCAGCCAGGTCCATTCATACTCCCAGGTGGTCCACAGGTGAAAAGCAGAGAACTCAAAGAAAGTAGTGTATATGTGTCCAGTTTTTTTTACATTTTACAAAACTTATTACACACACGCACACACACACACACACACACACACACACACCAATTTTCAATGCCTTAAGAAGATAACGCTGGAATCAAAGGACAGGAAAAGATCTTTGTTTTCATGAAAAAAAATGATGACTACTGTAATAAATGGCAGAAGCTTTTCAGAGAAAGCAGACTGAGGAACCGGATGGTGAATAATAAAATCCCCAGAGTTGAAAATACAAAAATGAATATATATATTATATCCACACATGGCGTTTCCTCCGAGAACGCACTTGTACTCTGGTTTTCAGATGTCACTGTAACTGCAGAAATCAACCGTCTTTGTCTCATCACTCCCAAAGACGAAAATCATAAGACAGTCACTTTGCCATCTATTGAATGAGGCTTAAACAGTAACATGGGAGTCAGATGACAGCTGCTATTATCAGAATCATATCTGATAACTAGAGTTCTGAAGAACTACTAAACCCTTGAGCTTCCATTACAAAGCCATTGAAAACAATGCAACCATGGACTGGGCTTACCTGGGTATTTATATAAACTGTGGCACGGATAGTGCTTAACAAAACAGTTCAAGGAAAATTATAAACTGAACCTTCAGAGCAGAAACATCACAAAAGACGTTTTAAAGCCGATGGAAGCGTGATGAAAGATTGCTTCTATCACTTCCTATGACATTCACGTCTGACTTTAGCTGGGTAGAAAATAAATCGAGGCGCACATTAAAAGCATTTGCAACAAGTCTAACATGGTCACTGCATCCATCCAAATTTTTGTCTTTTCCTTCTGGATACCATATAGAGAAACAAAAGGGATTGAAAAGAAACACCTAGAGGTATCCATTTCCCACAAAGCCAAGAGACAAAAACAAATAAATAAAAACAACAAAACAATAAACTTTAAAAGTCCCATGGAGGTGTCAAGGGGGTGGGGCAAAGGGGTTAGAGGAGGCCATATAGCAGCAGATCGCAATCAGTGCCAAGGAAAGCACACTCCCTGGTGGAGAAAGGCCGCTCTGAAGGACCGACGCTGACAAGCTCCTCCGGTGAGCAGAGCTGAGATGAAGCAAAAGTTCTGTTTTGGGGGAAGGTTGCTAACTAAGGTACAGAAGGTGTGGAAAGCAGCCCTGCAGTGGCGGATCCTAGAACCCTCCAGCAAACGTAAGATGTCCACACACAAGAGAAGTGGCAAGTGCCAGGCTGGGTCCCCAAGTCTTGCTGGACCCAGAGCAGACTGGGGAGGCAGAGGAAGTGTGGCCACACAGGGCAGACACAGAGGGACTGAAACAAGAAAAGCAGTGAGTCCCCCGACAGCAGGGCAGGGAGCCACTGAGTGACCAAGCCCGGAGGGCTGCTGGGCCCATCCTTACCCAGAAATGACTGCACGTAGTGAGTGGGTCTAGGAAAACCCAACTCATTTAACCATCAGTTCACTTTAAAAACTAGAAAAGCACAGCCACAATTACCAACAGGTGAAGAAAACTCACCAAGAGGAGACGTTGTTATGCAGTCGATGAAAAATGTAACCAAGTGTTCCATCATGAATGTAAAATATAGCAGTGAAGTAAATATGTAAGGATCATGAAGCTATGCAGGAATTCATGGTAGAAATAAATGGCCAGACAAAAGAGGGAACTAAAAATCGCGACATCATGACTAACGTTAAGACATTTTAAAAAAATCATGGAAACAAGACAGAAGAAACTGGAAGAAGTAAAAAGAAGATACAATTAAGAACATGCAGGATAGAAAGAGAAGAAGCAAACAACATGAAATGGAAATGAAGAGCACTGAAAGATTACAGAAAATAATAGACACAGAAGACAAAGAAAAGTTAAAAACAAAGCAAGCAAGGCATAATTGGGGTCCTTTAAAGAAGTCAACCAGCGGTGTGCTAAGATGCACTGCAAGGGGTCAGGGAGGGAAATGCTCCAAAGGGAGTATTTTATCACACTCCAAAGGGAGTATTTTATCACTGACATTGTTTAAAGTGGCTGGCCCGTGATGATAATAAACTCTAACTGACTTTTTATTGGCTTCATTATAGTTTTAAAATATTCTCTAGATCATCTACCTCTTATAACCAGGTTTCTTAACACAAGTCTGACTGCTCCCACTGCCACCCCGCCTTACTACAACAGTGAGAAGAAAAACCAGTATTTATGTTTTAAAAAGTAATTCAAAGAAACTTTTCTGGACAAAAAGAAGGCTTAAACCCACATATCAAAGGGGCACAATGCAGAGCAGGAAAAGTTAACTCAGAATGACCAACACTTATTCTAGAAAAATATTGGACTTTGAAGTTAAAGCAAGAATTCTTTGGTAAGTCAAACAAAACGATTAAGTTTCTTATAAGAGAAAAAATTCAGACATATTTCAGAGCTCTTCAGGCCAAATGCCTGGAGACGGGGGGGAAAAGAGCTGTAAGCCAAGGTAATTTTACATGCAGCTCAAGTTACCACGGAGTACAGAACATGTGACGTCCCGGGACTACTGATGCCATAAGCCTTAAGAAAATAATTAGAGGCTAAAGTTTAGCTGGTAAAGAGATGCCTGGGAAACTCTGGCGAAATAACTAATAGTGAACACTGAATATAATCAATTACATGATCACTCTAAACCAATAACCTCGGATTGAGAGGCACTAATCTAAAATGTAACCCTCCCTCCCTCCCAGCCTCCCTGCCTCCCTTCCTCCCTCTCTCCCTTCCTTCTTTTTTGGTTGGTGGAGGGATTAATTCAGTCATTCATTTACTTTTACTTCTCACCTGACACTGGGGCCCCAAATCTACCAGTCATGACATCGAAGAAGTTCCCAATGTTGGTCTCAACGCTGCTGAAGATGATGCCGCTGTTCTGGTTGCTGAAGTGAGTGGCCAGGGAAGCCATGAAGGCGATCTAAGGAGAGGGAGGGTTGGTGGTTACTTAACAGACAGTTTACTTTAAAGAAGTAGGTTTTTATACAGGTCAGTTTAGTTCAGCAGTATCTGTAACAGCAAGATGGGAAATCACTCGAACATTAATCTGTGGCAAATGAATTCAATAAATCATGGTCATTGCTAACATTTTTATGCTATGTAGCCACGAAATAATGGTGAATATCGACAGTTTGAGCGTGCATTTCAAGGGACGTTAGACTTCAAAATGCTGTTTGAAATGTTAACATTCTATTATCAGATCACATTGGGAAAACTTGGATGAAATCTTCTACTTATACCTATTAAGCACACCTCAGTATATTAAAGATTTGAGAAGCCCTTAGCCAGGGTATAAACACTCACAGCTTTGGGGTTAGAGTTGGCTTTGAGAACATCCATCTTATTAGTTAACTTTAATCTGGCCAAGTGGCATCTGACTCCTTTTATTGGTAAATGTATACTGGCATGTGGCTCCCAGGTTGCTAAAATTATTCAGCAACATTCATTAAAACACTACAAAACCACAAAAGCAGTTAGAGTAACACACAGGACCTCTTAGTTCACAAGGCCCAGAAAAATGATGGAATTTATCCACCGTCAAACAACCACTATCTGTGCCCAAACAAAAGGCAAAGTTTCCCCCCATTGATCTTTCAGACAGTTTATATGTTCGAGCTGTCAAAACCCTTTTTATTTAGCACTAGAGGCCTACTGCACAAAATTCGTGCACTTGGGGGTGGGGTCCCTCTCCCTGGCCTGCACCCTCTCGCAGTCCAGGAGCCCTTGGGGGATGTCTGACTGATGGCCTAGGCCTGCTCCCCGCCGTCAGTTGGACATTCTTTAGTGCTGCCACGGAGGCGGGAGAGGCTCCTGCCACCGCCGCTGCGCTCACCAGCCATGAGCCCAGCTTCTGGCTGAGTGGCGCTCCCCCTGTGGGAGTGCACTGACCACCAGGGGGCAGCTCCTGCGTTAAGTGTCTGCCCCCTGGTGGTTAGTGCGCATCATAGTGACCAGTCATTCTGCCGTTTGGTCAATTTGCATATTAGCCTTTTATTATATAGGATAGCTTCAAATTTGGAAAGTGGGAGATGAGCTGACATTCAGGGTTGCCTTGAATTTGGTCTATTGAGGGAGTTAGGTTTCACCTTCAAACATTTCCTGCTCCCTAAGAATGATGGCAAAGCGCTCTGAACAGCACAATCCTCCTACGCTAGAGATGAGCGAACTGAGACTCAGATATCCTCCACGCTGGTGCCTGAGCCTTCTGCCCGGGACCAGGAAGCCCAGGACCATGCAGAAGTCACCTGGAGGTGCACCGGGCACGTACCTGCAGTTCCGGTGGGACCCCCGGGTAGCCCTTTTCTCCTTTGGGGCCGTGCTGCCCTCGCTCCCCTCGTGGCCCCAGGTCTCCTTTGTCTCCTTTCTCACCTTTGGCCCCTTCGTGGCCAGTGGCTCCGTTATTGCCATTGTTTCCATGGTTTCCTTAAACAATCAGACATCGTCACATGAGAAAGCCCCATCACTCATACTCACCATCTATTCTCATACAAACACAGCCCCCAAATGTACAAACTCAGTTGTAAAGGGGGACCATTTGAAACAATAAAAGACACAGCCATGGAGGCACCATCAAATGGGGTCTCCTTTAAACAGGACACTTAAGGCTCCAAAGCCTGTTTTTCTTATAAAACAGGACTTAGATGAAAAAAAAAGTGTAGAAGACTGATTACCAAAGCATCATTTATGGTAGCAAGATTAGAAACCACCTAAATGTCCCCCAATACTGGAAGGGCTAAACTAAAAAAAAAAATACAACTGGGAGATGATGTTTTATAGTCATAAAAAAGAATGCTGAACATGAACAAAAGTAATAACATTAGTAATATTCATTATATTTTTAGATAGAAAGGTTATCCATCAATAGAGATAGCATGATACTATCACATTGTATGCGGGAAACGTATTTATACGTTTTGCTTATACGTTGACTGGTAGTAGAGCGCGAGACACGTATTAATACTTTTTTTATAGACTAGCGGTAGAATGCCGGTAACGTATAAATACGTAAACTAAAGTTATCGTAATTTTACTGAACGTTGCCATTTGTGTAAAAAATTAGCAAAAATGGACCACGCCACCTGTTAGCGCGCGATAAAGACGCGCGATAAAGACTACCCGCAAACAATGTGCTATGTGTGTGTATGAATATATATCACGTGTGTGTGTGTGTGTGTGTGTGTGTGTGTGTGTTATACCTGAAGGGGGAAAAGACTAGAACAAATTTCAGGAAAATATTTATAGTGATTTTTTTCTACATGGACAGAACATGAGTGATCTGTGTGTCATTCTACATACTTTTCTGTTTTCTTTCTGTGTGTTTTTAAAAGTTTTCTTCAAAGGACACATCCCCTTTTAAAAATGAGAAAAAATAAAATCTTGAATAAAAAATTAGAATAATTTTGAAAGCAAGACTTGGCTAACAACTTCAATTCTTCCCGTTATTTTGCCACCATGGGACAACATCTGTAGCTCTTTTCTTTTTACATTTGTTGAATTTTGGGCCCTTTTGCTGTTGACTCTGCCTGCGACCTTTGGTCGGGTATCACAGCAGGCTTGCAATTCTCCCAGATGGATGAACTTTGTTGATAGGTTAGTGAGTTAATGACTAAACTGCTCCTGATGGGGACCATTTAGCCAAGGCCAGCCTGTCCTGTCACCTGAGCAGAGTTTACTGGAGAAGATTTTAGAAGAGTCTGAATATCTCACCTCGAACCGCTGTACCTGCTGCCTGATGCCGTTGATGGTCAATGACGGTGATTCAATGCCAAGAATCACAGTTTAAATTCTAACAGGGCATTTTCTCATTTCATCTTATTTATTTTATTTTTAAAATATATTTTTATTGATTTCAGAGAGGAAGGGAGAGGAAGAAAGAGATAGAAACATCAATGATGAGAGAGGATAATCAATCGGCTGCCTCCTGGATGCCCCACAATGGGGGTCGAGCCCACAACCCGGGCAGGTGCCCTGACCGGGAATCCAAACGTGACCTCCTGGTTCATAGGTCGATGCTCAACAACTGAGCCACACCAGCCAGGAAGATATTTTCTCATTTTAAATTTGGTTACATTCAAGAAGCCAATCAATTGTCTTTAAAAAATTAACTCTAATTTCATAGCGATAGCATCAATGGGACAAATCAGGGAAGAGCAAGAAGACGTTTTCCAACCCCTGAGAAAAGGTCCAACCCCAGGAATTAACCTGGAGAGAAGGAAGACAACTAAACCCCCAGAGAGGGTTAGAAATTCTAGGATGGAGAGGACCTGGGCTTTCCCTGTCTGGCCGAGGACACCAGCAAGTTATCCAAACCCCACATGCCTGGGACACCACTCAGTAGAGTCAGGGTGGGTGAATGGTGGGTCTAGAGAGGCACTGTGGAGCTCTACAGCATTCCCCGTGCCTCCACATAGTGCAAAAATGTTCCCATGAGACCAAGAGAGCCATAAAAGGCAACTGAGGGCGGCTGAAGGCCAGGGGAAGAGAAATTGAACTGAATTAAGAATCTGACAGAAGGATGGGTAGCTCAGTGAATGGCCTCATGGAGATACCTGTAGTCTAGACCAGGAAACCTCCTCTCCTTCATACTCTCACTTCACAAGTCCCCTGAAAGTTAGATACAGTGCATCACATGAACTGCACTGTGGCAGCGATCTGAAGCCAGGGCATGTCCCCATTAAGATCAGGTGGTTCCCTACGCCATGCTTCAAATGGAATCATAAATAGGACGGAGGTTATGCTGCTCCAGCTAAGCTGTCTCTATAAGCCCAGTCGGCCCACTCTCTTTTGGATTTTCCATGCACACACCTTGGATCACACCCAAGCATCTCAGATTACTTGGGTTCAGCCCTTGGATCCCATTCTGGCACAGTCAGCAATGAGGCCAGCAAGGTGCATCTCTCCCATCCTTACCTGGAATGCCAGGGGGGCCAGGAGGTCCAGGCGGCCCTTGGTAGCCCCGGAAGCTGTAATCTCCATGGCAACACTTGCTGCAGTCTGGGGGCAGTCCTCCCGGTGATGGAGACTTTAAAAAGAGACAAAGAGAAGTTTCAGAGCAAAGTAATAGGACTTTTGAATTTCCTCTGGCCTTGCTCCCTAGGCAAGTTTAACCCCAAACAACCCACAACAACATCAGAAAAGACGGGGTGGGGTGGGGATGTCAATGGCAAAGGAGTCAGCGGTAGCTAAGATGAACCAAAGATCAAAGGGTAAAGGACCCAAGAGAATGAATAGAGGAACTCACTCTTTGGAAAGGAGTGCGAGGGCCGCTGAGGGTGGGGTGTTGGGCAGTATCCCTAGAAGTACTTTTTCGCTGCTACTCGTGACAGCAAACGAGGAAACTCCAGAAAACCCTCCTTTTTCCCCCAGGAGCCTCGGATGCAGCTAGATTGAGTCCATGACCCCCAAACGACAATTATCAACTTTTCACAGAACATGTGTAAGATAACTGCTAATACTCCTTTTTATTCATGGCTTGTGCCAATATTATACTAGATGACAAATACGGAAGAATGAGGCAGAGGCAGCGCTCAGACCATGACAGTTCACAGGGTAGAAGATCCAGAGTGGCTTTTTTTTCCTCCAATGAAAACCATCAGACCTGACTGCCTTCCATTTACCTCCCCTTCCCTTTTTGGGGGGAAAAAATCAGCCTCAACTCAGATCCCGTGGTTATGGCATTGGCCCCTCTCCAGTGGCCAACAAGACAACATTGATACGGAGACTGCCTAGGAATTAGCCTTCCTCGCTCTGTGAGGCCACATTGTCTGACCAAAAGGTTGCCATCAAAGCATACTTTGGATTAATTTATGACCAAAAGGGGAAACTGTCAACAAAAAAAGGGGGGAAGAGTGCTTTAGAAAGTAACTTCACAGAGTGATCTGATCATAAACTCTAAATTCCTAACTGGGCAGGTCATGGGGGGTAGTCACACCCCAGGCCTATAACTTCTTTAGTGGAAGGTTTTAAGGGAGCCCTCTTGATTGTTCTTGTGCAACTAGGTTAACATACTAGTATCTTCGAAATACCAAGGGGATATTAACCCTCAAGAGAGCATGTAATCTTATTAACTATCCGGAAATCCAATCCCCACCTTGCTCTTTCCAATCTG